CAAGGACAACCTCAGTCATCAAGTCCCATCATGTGCAAATCTAGACCACCATGCAGATGATATATTTAACTTGTTACACAATCTCTTCCATATGTTTAACAAGCTCCAATAATTTAGGGATGGTCTTCCCAGTACACGCTACAGGCAACTATTTGGTCTCAAGGTCCTGAAGCCATGCAGCTCCCGACCCTTGTTTCTGAGCATCTTTGGATAGCTTATTTTCACTTTCTCAGCCAAAGAATGGCAGTGCTGCTACTGATCCCAACACACACTCCTAGACCTTGCATTTTCTTCTACAATCTGGTATTTATGCCTATTTTGTGTCTCTCTATAGAAGTTGCCATGAGTTCAGTTTTCATAGCTGCAAATTTACTGGTATGGTCTAATACTCTTTCATGGTTCCCAACTTCCTTTTTGATGTGCAAGTCTTTTCATGCCTTAGGGAATCATAGAAGAAAGCATACCTGAAACATTAATAAATAGGTGCTGGAGGCTGATATTATAGGCCACCTGGGTGTAGGAGGAGCTGGTGTCTTAGTGATGAATCAGAAATGCTAGGAGAGGGGGAGGCATGTCAGGAAAGATCGGGAGGATGCAAAGCTTGACACAAGGGCAATCGCACACAAAAAATCATCTTTCCAGAAGCACTCTGAATGGACCGGAAAGGTGCAAGACTGCCTTTGTAAGAACCAGAGACAATGAAGCAAGACAAAGCCTATGTGGAACAGTTTCGCTGGGGTGATGGATGGGAAAGTCCGTATCTTTGATACGTTACACAGAAAAAACTCAACAACGTGTGATTCAGAACTTGGATGTGAGTACGTACGGAGAATTCAGAGCAGAAGACCATGCATGGGTTATGGGTCTGAATTACGAGAAGATTGTGTTCCCCACCTTGATCAAGAAGAGAAGTAGGAGAATGAGATTAGGGCAGTATTAATCATCCTGCTATAGCCATGTTGAGGATGAACATGGGCTAGTCTTCCTCAAAAAGATCTAAAGGTAAGGGTTGTTTGGAACAAAATGGGATCTGAATTGGAGAGGTTGATTATTAGAAATAATAGTAAAATGTATGCTTACAAACATTCAGCAACACAGGGAGGAGGTATATAGAGAGCAGGGAAATGGGCCAAAGACCTAAGTCTTGCGGTGAAGCTTGGCTGCGGGTGAAGAGTCTCTTCCAAAGAAGTAATGATTGGAAGGATAGGATGAGAAACATGAAGACAGAGTCACAGCAGCCACTAGAGACTAGATTTCACAAAGAGTACGCTCACCAGAGCCCAGTCACCATCTGGTCAAGGAGGATGTGAATGCCGTTTTGAGCTATATGTCAGACGTTCCATGGAACCTGGGGGCCAGAGGAAAGGCTGTAAAGGGCTTGGGAGAAAAGTGAAGAGGCGGCTTTGCAAATAATGATTGCAGACTGTGTGCCCAGATTGTGATGCTAGAAGGGATCATTGCGGTCATTTCAAGAAGAAAGAAGTAATAAGTGGATATGGATCTGTAATTGCACAGGACTTACTTTGTCTACCTTTGAAAAATGTGAACTACCCTAATAACTTTCCAGAAATGTTGGCCTGTGGTAATACAGTGACTTCAGTGCTGATGATCAAGCACTTTTGCACCTCAAGCTCCCAGTTACATTAGTAATTGATCAAAGACAAGGCAGTGAGTACAAGAAATCCCTGGTTCCTGTGAAAACCTTTAGGTTTCAGCACAGGACACTTCTGAGAATGTTCTGGGCATATCTGAGAAAACACTAATAGATGCAGAATCTATATAGTGTAGCACAGGCTCACAAAACCAACTAATTCAATATAGTTCTATATTTAATGTTGTTCAGCTACAGAGCAACACCACTGCAGCGTGGAAAATCACTGGCAGACTTACAGGGATATGTATATTACCCAGTATGACAGAACCAAAGGATGAAAAATTACTCTTAGACTTTGGTAAAGAGTAGGGAAGTCAAAACAAGCATAAAATTGTAGAAATACAAAACTTCATCATGGTTTAGACACAGATGCTTTAGAATTTGGAAAGGTCATTATTAACTACAAACCCTACAGAAATGTCACTTCCTTGCAAGGAGCTAAACACAAAGAAACATTTTATAAAGAAACTGGAAGCTTCTGCTCAGTCTTCTAAAGCAAAAGAGAAACTAGCAGTTGGCAGAGAAGAGTGAAGCAAAGGGCAAAAAGACTGAAGAACAAAAGTCTTCATGGACTGATCCTTTTTTTCCAGACTGTGTAAGAAAGCAATTTAACATGTGAAGACTTGAAGATACTTTACCAGATCAAAACTCAAAGACAGCTGAAATGCCCAACAGACCAGTTGAAGCCTGTTGATCCTGCAGTAACATCATAAAATGTTAGGCTTAGTTGCTGTACTGGTTGGAGTGCATTGTAGTATCATTGATAATACAGCTCTTTTTGTATATGCTCTCTCTTTGGTATCTCTGTCGGACACTGGCTCTTTGGTTTTTATCACCTCATGGCAGAGTTTCTCACTTCATTCTGTTTTTTACTAGTCCAAGACTAGTGAGCAGGGTCCAGCTGTCTGCTGCACGGCATTGTCGTGGGTCCTCTTTGTAAAAAACAGAGAAGAGGAGGCAAAAATATAAGTTGATGGAAGAGTTTAGCTGGGTGGACAGATGGGAAAGGCCATTATCTCTGACACTTTATGCAAAAAGATCCAGCAAGGCATGATACATAGCTTGGATGTGAGGACATAAGGAGTGATCAGAGCAGAAGAGTTAATCTGGTGTAGAAGATGGCCTCCTTCACCTTGATCAATTAACTTCAGATAACCTGACTGACCCTAAGTGTTTATTAATCTCATTTTTTTTGACCCACCCACAGCTGTGCCACTACATTGACCGCCAGAGTTTTTTTACTAGCTCAGCTGCTTTCCCTCCCTGGAATCCTCCCAAACTAACCTCTCTTGAGGGCTTAATTTCCATAGTACACCAGACTCAGACCAGAAGCTGAGCACTAACCTTCATTAATTCAGCACATCCAGCTGGACTTGGGATGTTTTTTTCCACAGGCCAGCATAATTCCCCAAAGATTCAAAATATTTAAAGTATAAGACTGATAACAGTAATACCAGGCATTTAGGTCTGTTATCAGACCTGCTCTGCTCAGATACCAGCAGCTGCTGTGACTGGGATCAAGGGCACCCCACTCATGGGTGCTGGCAGTATTAGTGGCAGTGGAAGCCACTCTTGGCTCTGTGCCTGCTCTGTCTGTCTGCAGGACACATGCCTCAAAACTTATCGGTCCTACCACTGTCTGAGGCTGCTGCCCTTCCACCTTGGAAGTCCTCTCCAGCCCAGCTAACTTCACGTCAGCAGGCTGAACCGACCTGTTGTCTCCCCTGCCTTTATATTTCCTTGGCTGGGATTCAGCCTCGTCTGCCAGGTTCACTAAACACACTCTGCTCTCCATAATCTGGGAGTACTCAAGGCTCCAGTAATAGGGTTAACTTTGTAAAAGGTGAAAAACACCCTACTTTGAGAAGAGCGGCAGGTGTTACTTGTCTCCCAAACTTACGGACCTACTTTTGTTCTTTTAACTCCTCAGAATCCGGTTCCTGCATCTACCTTGCTCAGGCCTTTACTTCACCTTTCCTTTTGCTTTTGGATGAAACCCTTTACAGACCAGGGAACTAACTCTGCCTTGCGCGTGCCCGCAGGCAGCAAGCCGTGACTGAGCAGGGTAAAACGGTCACGTTTCGTATTTGCGAAGGGCAATTCAGATCTGTTTTCTGCCTGTCACTTCACCTACGCCCCTTCTCGTAGCACTTCTGCCTCAGCATCCCCGCAGGTTTATAAAGCGGCTCGGGGAGCTGGATGGCTCAAACAGCTAAAGTCACCAGAGCTGGCACTATTTCTGGAAGACCCACAGCCCTCAAGAGAGCTGACCCAGGCCGAGCCCCTTACGATAAACCAAATTACACGGAGGGGCGGTGGGGGGCACAGCTCGATGCCTCCATGCGTGGCGTGACGCGCCCTCGCCTCAGAGCTCCGTGCGGCTCTCAAGGGACGCGTCTGTCGTGCCAGAGACAAATATTACTCCCCCACGGGGCTTTACCTCACGAGGTCTCCAAGACTACCCCGCGCTAAACCAGATCTGCGCGCTATTTTCCAAAAAAACCCCAAAACCCCCCAAAACCACCTCACGTTTATGCTGCCCGACCTGCCACCCCTCTAACCGCCTAAGAGCAGCGCGGTCGCAAAGAGACACCAGCGCTACCGCAGCCGGTGAGGCGCAAGACGCCGTTTAGGAGCCCGCAGCGGGGGC